GAAGAGGCAGTGTAGTCTGCGAGGACTGATGGGAAGAGATGGTTTTTAAGATGTTTACAACCCCATAATAATCCACTCCCCTACCCGTCCTGTAATTGCATTCAATTGTGTAGAGTTTTTCCTGTAGGCTCATTATAAAGACCAGGCTATGTAAGTTGAACTCACATTATACAGTACTACCATTTATTTGGCATTTATGTGCTAGGTATTATAATAAGCACTTATACCTTTTCTCATTTGACCCTAAAAACACACCTTTGAGCCCTAGACGGTTTGGCTAAGTGGTTAGAGCGTCAGCCCTCAGACTGAAGGGTGCAGGGCTCAGTTCCACATGGGCCCCAGTCAGGGTGTGTGCGGGAGGCAACCAACGGATGCTCCAATGGATGTGTCTCTCTCACATCAACATCAATGTTTTTCTCTCTCTCTCTTGTTTCCACTCTCTCTGAAAAGCATTGGAAGAAATATCCCTGGGGAAGGATTTAAATTTTTTTTTTAAAATACCGTTGAGTTTGGTATTATTGCTATTATTATTTTAATTTTAGGAATAGGAAGTTGAGGTTCAGGAAGGTAAAATGACATGCCTACTAGTTCAGGGGTCAGATTAAAATTTAAAACTTAAATCTTAAGGTCTTTGTGACTTTTCCATTCAACAAATATTTACCAAGTGCCTCCTATGTGCCAGGCATTCTGGGATGTAGCCATAACCTAGACAAAATGCCTTTCTTTATGGAGACCACCTTCTGGGGAGGGAGAGGGAAGAAAAGCAAATAAGTGAATACCACTTCAGATAATGAAATGTGCTATGAAAAAACAAAACAAAAACAGGCCACCCGGACGCTCAATCACTAATCCGTAAGGAGTCTTCAGGTGGCAGGAGAATAAACCTCCCGACTTGGGTCATTGCGGTTCAATCAGTCGCATCCTGATCCCGGAGGCGAGCTGGGAGCAGACAGGAGCTGGGCTGGTCAGCAGGCGGCGCCCCAGAGGCTTGTCTGTCCGCGGAGGCCCCGCAACCGCAGACAGATTGCCAGAGGCGGGGCGGGGCCAGCCGAGCAGCCCGCCGGCGGGTGTGCTTCGGGCCGCTGGAGGATCCTCAGAGTCCTCCAGGTGCTGGAGACAGAGACACTAGTGGGCCAGGCCGCGGGGACTGTGGGGCCCAGGCCTCCCTCACCCAGCCCCACCCCTGCCACGAGACCCTCCAGCACCAAGTGACCCCAACCAGTCCTCGGAACCCTCCCAGCCCCAGGTGACCTTGCCCTTGTCCAGAGACCCCTCCTGCACAGGTGACCTCTGGCCCTGCCTGGGACCCTATCGTTCCCACGTGACTCGGACCCGGCCTCGCTCCCCTTCGGTCCAACCCTACCCATGACCCTCTTGCCCAAAGTGACCCCAATCCAGCTTCAGGACCCTCCGGCCCGGGGTCGCTCCGAACCTAACCTGCGACTTTCCTGCCTGAGGTGATTCTGACCCGACCTCCGGAACCCCTGGCCTCCCCGCCCTTTTGAACTGCGCCCAGTCACCGTGGTCACATCCAGGGATGCCCGGCCTTCCTGCCCAACCCTACGGTCGTTTTCCAGAAAGTTCCTGGCCATCCCAGGGTCTCGTCCGCCCCAGCAGCCGTCAGCACCCCGCCAGACCGGGTCCCGGACACAAAAGACGAGCTGCCCACCAGGGGCGAGGCTGAGCGAGAGGTGCGCACCCTCTCGGTGAGGAGACGGGGCACCGCACTCAACAAGACAGGGCTGGAGGGGCAATGGAAGGAGGCCAACGAAGGTCAAGGTTCGGGCGATGACTACTTCAGCGGCTTCGCAGCACCTACGGACAGCTCAGTTCTGCTCAGCTTTGGATGTCTCGCCGACC